ATGATAATTTACATCTTATGTTAAATCGGGAACGTTCATTTCAACAGAATTCAAATTAGTTATCTACGTGCTTATTAGAAAAAAAATCACATTGATTTATATACCTTTGAATAGAAAGTAGCATATTGGGCCAATGATAATTTCTGTGAAGTTGTTTATGGGTTTCCTGGATACCTCTATGCATAGTTTTGCCTTCATGTTTCTTTTTATATGAGTTCTTGTTGTTTTTCTGTTATTTGCATTCCATATCAAGAGCGTGAATTAAGTGCATTGAAAACTTACATCGTTGGTATTATTTCTGTCTGTTGACTCGCCGCCCGACCAGAACCAGGCCTGAGTGTACGGCACGTAGCGTTCCGCTTGCACCTCAAGGAGCCATCAGACCACCACAGATGGGGCCCAACAGGGCTGATGCCGATACGGAGCCGCGGAAGACTTAACGGGTTACCGGGGCTCCGACTCGAAGTAGTGTAGGAACGGGGTGGTGTTTACCTAGTCAGTAAGAGTCTGACAATCCCTCTCGCCTCACCCGGGCGGGAGAAGTCATTGGATGATTTTCCCCCTCAAAAAAAAAATGGTTTTATTTCTGAATTCAAAAATCGAAAATTAAAAAATAAACTTTCAAAAACAATACTTCACTAGTACACAAAAAAAAACAAAATTTGAATTTGACTCAAAATCCAAATTCCTAACAGAATCAATTTCTTAATCAACTATACGTATCTATGCTAGATCAATCTCTTTGTATCAAAGTACCACGACTCTGTGATCCAACTACACAAGATGGCCTCTTCTTTTGTGTCAGGTTACAAAATGTCAAGCACGTTAATTAGTGCCGGTGTCGTTTGAGCTTTTGTTCAGACAATGAGTGGGAAGATAGATTTCTAGGTCACGCTAGGATTAGTTTAGAGACTAGTGCTTGTTTGTGTAACTGGAGGTCTGGATGTGGGTAGCAGATTCTTTTAACAATACTACAAAGTATAGTGGGTTTTTAATGGGTGGTACTTTTTTCAGGCAGCTATGTTTTATGTACAGAAATCCCACTAATATTATAATTGCGAATGTTTCTTTGTTTGAATGTTTGTCCATCAATCACGCTGAAACTACTGAACGGATTTTGATGTTTGGTTGCAATATCTGAATCCATAATTATTGACGAGTGAATTAAAAAAAAAACAAACTAACCTGTTGAAATGTCATCCTCTAAATTTGTTCATACAAAAAACTGCGTTTAAAAAAACTAACTTCAAAAACTAAAAATAAACGAAAAGTAAAAAGCAAAATATAACTATTATTAGTCATACGTACTTATAGCTTACACACCCACTGATAGGTGAAAAGTCGGTGCCACAAGTTTTACACAAAATTATTCATTAAAACCTAATATTATTAAGCTGTTTACAATTTTATTATGGATTATACCTGTGACCATTACGTAAGATATATTTTGTTTATGGGTAAGTGGCACTGACTTCTAAACTAAAGACTAAAAACTAAACTCGAGAGTAAACCTAGTCTCGACTAAAATAAAAGTAGCTTACCTATTCGATCAAATGGCAGTTGGGAAAGTTCCAGAAACACAACATCGATTTATGTAATAACCATTATAACTATGACAATATTTTAAGTAACTATTTTGACATTATATACCTAACTGATGGTTACCATGGAGCATCTTACCAAACAATAGCCGTTACTAAAACAATTGTTTGATTGATGGACTGTCCGATGAGACTATAGATTTGTTTTATTATAGCTTTTGTTTTTGTTGACTTTGTTTTGTTTTCGAAGCTATGCTGTTTGAAATTTATACGTTTGCCTTAGTATTTAATGCTATGCAAGACTGTTGAGTAAAGGGGGTCTCGTTCGATGCCCGGGGGGAGTAAATAGAGTTACAAGAGTCTCACTAGGACTGTGGAGTCCGGAAATGAACACGCTGAGGGTAATAGACTTGCATTCGATTAAAATAGTCCTATTTTAATCGAATGCATTGCGTACTGTTCTGTAACGAAGATTATTCAGACATCACTGACAAACGGTGTAGGAAAACATCGTAAGGTTTATAATTTCTAATTATAAATTTGAAATCGCCAACCCGCATAAAGCAAGCGTGGTGATTAATGCTCAAACATTTTCTGTGTGAGAAGAGGCAATGCTCAGCAGTGGGCATTATAGGTTGTTGATGTGTGTGATGTACTGTTCTACGCCCTGAAATAAAAATAATAATTACGTAATGGTCCAAACTGAAAAGTAGGTCCATAGTAAAATATTTCTACAACACTTCGACAAGCCAAAGTCGTAAACACAAGTCATTACCGACCAATAATTTACTGGCAATCAACCACTAAATGGGTATTTACCGACTTTATAAGTGAAAGAAACGTTAAATTCTGTTGTTATCGAAAATCTACGTAAAGGGAGGAAGCATAAAGTTTAAATTATGTTGTCGCCTTCCCTGGGTTCAGTCGTGAAACAGCATTTTTCAGACGTGGTACACGATTATGATATTTCGTTGAAGATAATGTAGTTAGGTTTTAGTGTGGGCTTAAAGGTTATTTTGGCGTGTATTGTGAGCATATTCCTATGACGACAGGAAGGCTATTGTATCTTGAAAGATAGTAGGTATAGGTTTATGCAAAGTTCGTTGCTTTTTCAGTGCTTTTGAGATAGGTAATATCTACTTTAAGTCTACGTTATGTTCGTAATGATTACAATACCTGTTACGTAGTTAGAATATATGGTAATTGACGTCAAAAGCATTCGAGTACCTATGTATCTTCCATTTTTGTAAGATTAATCCTAAATGTACTCTTCGGCGATAAAAAAGGTGTTCCAATGAATGTTTCTTCTGCTATTATCTATCTCACATGAAGTATGTATGTCAACGACTCGTAACAGTTCACAGCTGGACAGCTCTTTGAAATTTTACGTGCTTATCAGTTATGTACTCTTGTTCCAGGTGAAGCGGCAAGGAATGCTCAAGGTGGCGCGCTAGGGAATGCTGAGCGGCGCGATCCTGAGCGCAGCGCCGGTGTCCCTGCGCGGCCTGGCTCCAGGTCTGCCGGCCGCTCGACCCGCGCTCCTCGCCGCCCTCGTCATGCATGCACTACATGACCGCCAGGATGAGGCCAGCTTCATAGGTCAGTGGAATTTTCATTCATTTCCTTATCTTCCTTAACATTACCTTTTTGATAGCTGATAAACTCTTCGCTAGCGTCGGTATTCATTGTCAGATATCTACCATTAAGAAAAGAGCCGGTATGGTACGCGTACCTACCCCTTGTTTGAAAAGCCGGCAATGTATCTGTAGTCGGTGTTCAAAGGTGGTGCTAATTGCTCACCAACAGGTGATACTTTACTCGTTTGCTTTTTATTCTATACAACATGAGGAAGTTCAGGATGTCATACGACACGATGACAAGTTTGAAGAAGATTACTGTAGTTCGATTTGCTATTCACTTGGATGCGACTAACGTAATATAAGCTACCTAGGAGACAGGGTGCAAAAATAATTCTTTATAAGTGTTATACATAGATTACATACAATTGGGTACTTGCCAGCTAGTCAAATTCAATACTTTTTTCGAACTGTTAAAAACGAGAGTTTTCTATGAATTTTGTACGAGATTGTGTATTGTGACGTCACGTTTTTTACCGTCAACAACAGCGTACTTATTTCATAAAAAATTGCTGGTAAAATACTAAGATTAAGTTAGGTAGAAAATCAATTAATGAAAATGTGATTATTTTTTAATATTTTATTGTATTGAACAGTCGAAATAATTTATTTTTGATTAAGGCTAGTACCGAATTACTTTTTGCTCGACTTAAACACACTTAACTAAGTTTAATTTCCTACAAACGGTTACCATCCACATTCGTTGGCAGTTTCCAGCCATTTATTTTAGTTCAGCTAGATAAATAAGGTAGTAAATCCCAGAGAATAGTTCCTTGAGTGAGAAACCGCACCTTACCTATGTGAGCTCTCACAGGTAAGTGATAGACAAACAGAAGGCGCTCGAGGGTGCTCCTACGTCCGGACAAGTGGACATATTATTACCCTATATCGTCTGTACGGGGGTCGAAGTGGAAGTCAGACAAGACAGGCGTAAGTTTCATAGATCCTAAACGTATTATAGACTTGTAATGATGACATCTCCTTCGTTTATGGCAAGTACCTACCTAAAGATAAATTTTAGCTTTCTTTAGTTCATTTTTTATTTTGCTGTCGATCCAATTTTGTTTTCATTTTGAAATTCTAACTAATATAGTTCAAAGATAGAACTAGAAGAACTAGTAGGTGTCTATCTATCTATTAGATCATGGTTGTTCTATTAGAGGTGTATAGAACATCTGGTGATATTATAAAGACCGTATTATTATAGTAAACGAAATTGAAAACTATATTTAATTAGCATGTATTGCGTGATATTATTATGTATAATTTAACATATTTACATTTTAAATTATGTTAAAAACTCACAACAATTTTAAACTTTTACACCTACTATTGTGCCTCTCTGCATCATCCTTTTTTTATTATTTAATTTATTTAGGGTTTTTGGTTAAAATTAACATATCAAACCCATTGTTCCTTATAACTATTAACACATAGTACTTATCCTAGTTGTTTATAAATAATTATGAGGGTCGGTGCTGGGTCTGCGGTACTAGCAAGTAAAACGCCTGCATCATCCTAAGGTTGACTGGAAGAGTATGCCTCTAGGCATTAAGTCCGCCAATGTATACCTATTGTACAAAAAGTGTAAATAAATAAAACTTAATTAGACATGATATAACGATAATCTACACTGGAAAATGGACATGCATTTGTCACCAACGCCCCAGCTTTAACTTGCTAATCTCTCATCAAAAACCAATAAAAAGCCGCACCTTCCTTCCCCTGAATAATTTTGTCACCACATTAACAAACCACATGATTTTATACACCCCGTTTTAGGGTAATTTTACCCTATAATCCCCATTAAAACAATGTCATACCCCTTGGTTCGTTTTCATGCGTTAACTGCGCCCTGATCGTATCAACTGACTTTTGCAAAAGTTAGCCTTATCTAGAATCTAGGTGTCAATGACCCCACCCTTCAGTTGTGGTGACAGCATGTAAATTTTTAGACGTTGAAAATGGGACGCCATTTTTTTCAACTTTCTGCGTCAACTGTGAGTGACAATTGGGATGATGACAGGGTATGAAAATTAAAAATCTAATTAGTCTGTAATTAGATTTTTAAATAAGAAAAAATATTAGACACATATTTTTTAATTTGGTCGTATAATAAAACAATACTTAGATAAAACGAATGAAAGTTTAGGAGTGAGGGCTAAAACGTCATTTCTACGTATAAAATGTTCATAGAAGTGACGTCAAGCGACATTTCAAATCAATACTTATACCGTCGAAAGTATTCGTTTCTGTAAGAAAATAAAAAATACGTGTCTAATGATTTAAAATAATCTACCAGACGGACATTAAAATAAAAATTAGGCATTGATATTCTGGCATCCATCCCCAGATTAATCTAGTTATTATCAAGTTACAATCGGTATGTTTCAGTAACAAGCGCGACTACTATGATTATTGTTTTTGAGTTCGCTCAATGGAGCCTAATAAGTCATAAATTGTAATCTAAAGTACGTACCTTCAATTATACGAAGCTTACAACAAAACAGAGGAAAGGGTGTGTTACTATGACAATTCAGACACAAACACTTTTCCTACAAAATAAGATAAAAGGACCAATTTCCAACCTTCATCGGGCCAAGGTCCTACTTTTCGTAATCCATCTTCCTTCGGGCGTTTCCGTCACTTTTCGGCATCCGTCGTGTCAATGTTCGGGCTTCATAAAATGTCGGCAATATCATGACGTCACTGTTTTGACGGCTCCAAGCCCCGACACGGCGGTGTAATGACAAAAAGAGGACTCGACTTAAGGATGCCTTGTTAGTTTTTACAAGAACGAGTAGAGCTCTCTTCTTGTTGAACTATTTACGTAAGCATCTGCAAAGGATTAGGTAAGCATGTCGTGGTAGATCTTTAGTATAAATTATGTAGTGGGGATTGATAGACACTACAAAATCTTGAATAAAGTGTGCTCGTCTATTGATGTCAATATTTTGTGTAGCCAATAGTAACTCATGTTTAAATTAAATCATAAATTGAAATAGTTTAGTCGTGTAATTAATTACATGTTAAGGTACCTAATTAACAAATTACATAACATACGTAAACATTACATAACAAAGAGCAGTAACAAATACATCGATTGATATTACTCATTGCTACCTCGAATGCCAGATCTATGAAAATTTATATCAACTAGCTAAATACCAATAACTGGCAGCCCTGTTCGTATTTCACCCGAAATAGTCCGGCGGAGTCACGCGAGGCAGCCCTATCGGCAGACATCTAGGCGCCAGCCCGCGCCCGCGCCCCTCCCACCCCCTCTATCGTCTGACGCAGCCTTGGTGCATTGTAGATTCATAGATTCAGAACGCCTACATTTTATGAACTCCTGGTTATTTCAAATTTTTACTTAGTCACTGCTGCGTAGGTACCTTTGTCTCTTTCCTTTTTGTTCGAGGTCATTAAGGTCAAAGAGAAAGGTTCAGATTATAGCTTAAAGTTCTCCATGAATTCAAAGTCATTATCAGGTGTGGTTTTCTCATTGTTACCTTTAATGCAGCTTGATTAGTCACTCGGCCTTGCATTGATTCATACATAGTTCGTAGACTTACGCCTACGTGTTATGAGCTCCTGGTACCTGGGACATGAAACACGTGTACTGTGCGTCGAATATAAAAAGGTCGAATATTTGTAACATTTTCAAGTAAGTAAAGTAAAAGGCATTTTTTCTTTGTTCAATTACATTTGGAGTCTATCTCTGTCTGTCTGGGTACAATTTCTTTAGTAATTTGCTGTCTGGGTGTATGTTTTGTCTCTTTCTTCGTACCTACGTCACGCGGTAGGTCATCAAAGGTCACGAATGTTTGGAATGAAGAGGTTTCTGTTTATAGTTTCAGCCTGTGCTGGTAGTTAGCACGCTAGCTCCCTTGTGGGTTCTGTCGACAATATCACAAGAATGTAATGGCTCCAAATATTTCCACAGCTTCTGTTACTTGTTAATTTTACTGGAATACGTCTGATTTTGTTCCTTGGAATTAACTCGCTCTGCTCTCTGAAGAATAGTGAAGATTTTTGTTTCTACATTACATAACACTCATTTTTAACAATTTCCTTTGCTTTTGCCAAATCTCCTACATAAGTCATTACTCCCTAGTACCCATTTGTCCTTCAGAACAGAGGACAAGCCTTTTACCATAAGTACTCTAGAGCCGAGGAATAATTCCAGGCTTCATGGTGACTCCAGATCTTCCCAACATTCTGAATCGCTGACCCTTAGCTCAGCAATGGCGCTCCCGACCACTACATAAATGAGACGGATTTAATAATTAGTTTTTATTATCAGATGCTATCTTAAGTCATTATAATTCAACTCAAGCGCAGAAAGACACGTCGATATGTGGAGCAGTGCATTATTTTGGCGGCCAGCTTACGAAATAATAACAATCTACTTATGGGTCACGACTCCGTGCCATTGTCGTTTCATACATAGAAGTTTTTTTGTTGAATTCTTCAATGGATTGTTAAGTGTATAAGTGTACAATGATTTTGTTATTTTTGTTCTCAGGTATGTGTTGAATGGGAATAGCTTTGTCTGTTTTGATATAAGACCTTTTTTGTTGACGGGGGAAACCTCCAAAACAGACACATAGCTTTTTGGAGAAGACTAGTGAGTCTGGGATTTTTACCTTACTATTATCTCCCCAGAACCCAAATTCTGCACTTAAAGAGGGCTCCGGTCCTCTTACGGAGACCTATGTCTTAAACATGAGATCTATATACATTTATATCATTTAATTGTATACTAACTTGAAAAGAAGTGTCATCCTAAATGAATCATTTAAGTGATAACTACAAATAATTGCAAAAATATTTAAATTATCGGTTTGAGATCATTCCAACATTCAAAAATATCCTCTAAAACTTGGAATCCTCAAGGAATAAGTAGAAGGAGACAAAATATGTTTTTCTTTTTGCAATATAGAGCATTATTATTCTTGA